ACACACACACACAGAGAGAGAGAGAGAGAGAGAGAGAGAGAGAGAGAGAGAGAGAGAGAGAGAGAGAGAGAGAGAGAGAGAGAGAGGGCTTTCGAACGGACCAGGAAGAGGACAGATCACCACCAATTGAGATGTGTTTGAAAAGGTGGCAACGCCATTCTCTGAAATCACACAGAAACCACTTGAAAATGGCGGCGCTTGTGGTTCATTTTGGGGGCACACAGTGCAAATCTGCATTGAGTAAAAGACACTCTAATGTAGTGGTGGTTTAAGCCTAACTCCTGATAAAGTTGGCGAACTCCTGCAGACAGGGCAAAACAACAACGTGCTCAGGTTGTCAATCCGTTAGACCAGCTGGAAAAGGGCAGGGCACCACCAGAGCAGGGGCCAAAATTGCAGGCATGCGAAGGACACAATCACATGGCTCATTAACATCGCTGTTTTCATGATGACAAGCCATACAGGAGATAGTACCGAGATACCCATGTATATCATGACTCATGAGTAATGTATGACCACATAGATGCCTGGGTGTGTTCTGACGGCGATATTTTTACCCTTCCAAGTTTCGATGATAAGAACAGGCGATTTCTCTCGTACACCCTTTTCTTGCTTGTTTTTTCTTTTCTTGTTTGACAGTTTGTGATTCCATTCCAAGATTCCTAACACAGACTCTGAGCTGACTCTCTGAAATGGATAACTGTTTTACAGGGACATGCACAGGAGAGCATGGCATAGGAGTGGGTAAAATTAAGGTAGGTGGTTGTGTGGACTCGCACATACAGCTGCTTCCCGGATGGGGTCATCCATTGTGCATATGATGAGATATGCTTTGTGCTTTGTTCAGGGCTGTCATATGCTTTGTGCTTTGTTCAGGGCTGTCATATGCTTTGTGCTTTGTTCAGGGCTGTCACTCTCACACCCCCTCCCCTCCCTCCCCGGCACTCCACCACCTTCCAGGCGGTGACTGCTCTTGCCATCTTCTCCAAAATAGAACCTGGGCCTCAGGGTTCTCTGCCCTTGGGAAAAGTAGTTCAACCTGGACCTCAGGGTTCTCTCTCCTTGGGAAAAGTAGTAGAAGCTCGGCCTCAGGTCCAAGTTGCCCTCTATACTGGTAGGGTGATTGTCCTGAGTGCTGGTCGCACTGAGGTAGGATAGTAGGGATAGGGGGTGTGCTGGGAGTATTTAACCACCAGTACCTTTCCCCGCTTGCGATCTGGGGCGCGGTGGCTAACATGGAGCCCGATTCGGCCTCCGGCGCAGCGCCCACGGCCGATTTATGAGAAAGGTACATGCGGTTTAACGTAAGGAAGGGCAGGGAAGGTGGCCTATCCTGTAAGGACAACCATCGGCTGCCGCTGCCAGCGATCAGCGTGGGTCTAGCCCTTGGCCTCTACAACACCCTGGGCTTTGAAAAAAAAAAGGGGTTTCTCTCTCCTTGGGAAAAGTAGTAGATCCCCCCCTAGAGCAAAACCTTTGTATTTGTTTGCCCCCACATGGGGCAAACCATGCGGTCTTCCTTGAAAAGAACTTTGGCATCATATTTTTGCACCCAAGCCAATGCCTGGTAGAGCAGGTAAGGCTAGTAGTGCCCAGGGTGAAAAAATGAAGTGAAAGTGATTTCTTAGGGCCGATCACAGGGTTTGCCCCCATTTAGGCCAAATTAATACAAAGGCTTTTCCTTAGGATGGGAGTTCTACTATGTTTCGTTCTTTTCGTTGTTGATGGTGGGGGGAAGAGAGCGGGGCTGACTGCGGAAGGGGTTGATCCATCGCTCTATCCACAACAATTTTGAGGCCAAGTACACCTATGATGAAACCATGTGTTTTTCTTTTTTAAAAAATAATAAATAAATGGTGACCCCATGTTCAGTTTGGGCGAAGCTGCAATATGCAAGTAACCTGTACGTGTGTGCTTCACAGCTTGGCATTTGAACTCCTTGTTTGATCGTCATTTTAACCCTTTTCCTGTTTAAAACACCACTACCTCCGAGCCTCTTTTTGCTGAGGCGGAGTACAACAGCGCGCCAAGCTCTTGCCGAAGCGCAGGCGCGACCTTTTTTGTTTTGTTTTCGCTCTTGCCCCCAGCCATTTTGGTCCGGTGCCGCCCGGCCTCCGCCAGCCTCCGAAGAATGCGGTCTAGGTTATATTTACGACTTCGCCTTCCAGCCTGTAGTGGTGGTTTAATATCTGTTTATTTCTGTGTGTGTTTGTCTCCGTGGAATACAATTCAATCTTTATTTTCATCTTTTTAGTTTTGTATCAATTTCCCTAAAGCGAGTGCTTCACAATATTGGTAGAAGAAGGATTTCCCTGCAGCAAGTGCTTGACAATACTGGTCGAATGATTTCATCAGTTTTCTCGCAGCTGGAGGGAGGCCGCAAGGTAGAGGAGGAGGCCAGGGCCAAGGGGGCCGGCCATGGGAGGTCGAGGTCTTGGCGCACAGGGGGTTGGCGCCCAAAAGAACCGCCAAGAGGGAGGTGGGGGTCAAGGTCCCCCGCCGAATCGTTCGGGTCCCAGTCGATCCCCACAACAGAGAGGTGGAGGATCACCTTAGAGAAGAGGAGGTTGGCACCCAGGCTGGCCACAGGGCCGCCCTTGGGAAGATTTGGGCTTGGACCAGAGAGTGTGGCAACAACGTATGGACCAGGGGCAGTGCATTTACTGCGGTGACCATGCCCATATCATTAAACCACCAGTACCTGGCCCAGCTATCGGACGCGGCGCTTCCCGTATACGCGCCGCGTCGGGAGGGGCACCCACCTTGCAACGACCGGTACCGCCCAAAAGTCGGAATCAAAAACGGAAAAAAAACAAAAACAAAAAAACAAAAAAAAACAACCGAAACGAGAACAAACAAAGAAATAAAAAAAAACGGGCGAGGCGGGGGGAACGGGGGGAAGAAAGAAAGAGAGAGAGAGAGAGAGAGAGAGAGAGAGAGAGAGAGAGAGAGAGAGAGAGAGAGAGAGAGAGAGAGAGAGAGAGCTGTCTCTTATACA